AAAAAAAAAAGGTCAAGAATGGAGAGGGTTGACATGTTGTGGGGTTGTTAACCAATGTCATAAAACAATATGTGTACTACTGTTTCACGAGAGACTATTTGTTCTGTAAACCTTCACCTGAAGTACAATAAAAAATAAATAAATAAAAAAGAAGAGTCAATAAGAATAAGCTTGGACTACTCAGTAGAAACCATGCAGGCAAGAAGGCAATTGGATGACATACATAAAGGCTTAAAGGAAAAAAACTGCCAGCAAAGAATTATATATCCAGCAAAACTCTCTCTCAAATATGATGGCAAAATTAGGGCATATCCAACTAAACAGAAGTTTGGGGAATTTGCAAAAACCAAACCAAAATTACAAGAAATACTGAAGGGAGTCTTCTGGTTAGAAAATCAGTAACATCAGATAACAACCCAAGACTAGAACACAAGACAGAGCAAGCAGGTAGTTATGAGGGAGGGGAGGCATGGCGAGGGGAAATCACTAACTAGACAGCAGACAAGTGGTAACTTTGGTGAAGAGAAAGACGACACACAATATAGGGAAAGTCAGCACAACCTGACCAAGGCGAAGTCACAGAAGCTTCCTAGACACATTCAAATACTTTGAGGGACCAAGTTACTGGGGCTGAGGGCTGGGGACCACAGTCTTTGGGGACATCTAGGTCAGCTGGCATAACACAGTTCATAAAAAAAAGGTTCTATATCCTACTTTGGTGAGTAGTGTCTGGGGTCTAAGCTGCCATCTAAGATGCATCTATTGGTTCCATCCTGTCCGGAGCAAAGGAGACTGAAGAAAACCAAAGATATAAGGAAAATATTAGTCCAAAGGACTAATGGAACACATGAACCACAGACTCCACCAGACTGAGTCCAGCACAACTGGATGGTATCCAGCTACACTACCAACTGTTCTGACAGGGATCACAACAGAGGCTGCCAGACAGAGCAGGAGAAAATAGAAAACAAAATTAAAATTCACTAGACTTACTGATCTGACAGAGACTAGAGGAACCCCTGAGACTAAGGCCCCCGGACACCCTGCTAACTCAGAACTGAACCCTCTCCTTAAGTCTACCTTTCAGCCAAAGATTAGACAGGCCCATAAAACAAACAATAACACATGGGAGGAACACGCTTCTTCGTTCAATAGCGTATACGAGACCAAATGGGCAACTCCTGCCCAAAACCAAAGACTAGAAGGCAGAAAGGAATAGGAAAACGAGATGAATGGACATGGGGAACTTGTAGTGTAAAAATTTTTGAATAAAAAATAATAATGTCAAAAAGAGTAAAATACATACATCATTACATAAAAAACAAGTAAAATGTATATACTGCCAGATTAGTGTAAGAGATATATACTTAGTTGTAACAGATTCTGACTTTTTATTAATTACACATTAGGGTCCTTTAAATCTGTCCCTTTCATCAAATAAAAACTGTAACATTTAAGAAAATTTTTCATAAAAAATACCCTAAAAGGAGAAAGACAATTAAACTTGCAGCGTCCTTTGTATGTCAAATAAGCACTGACTTACTTAAAATAATGTTCTTAAAACATGGTAAACAAGGTCAACAAACAAAAGCAATCAAGCAAATCCAAACACCAGCAAATTGCAAACATGAGTCCATAAAACACTGGATCCACCAAGATAACAAAAATTTTCAAATGGGAAATGGAAGTAGTATAGTATGAGAAGAAATTAAAGTATAAGATTATGTCATTCAACATCACACCGGTTATCAGAACAAATCTATGAAGAACATACATTAAATTATTTATAGTCATTTCTGGGCAATACAGTTGTGAATATTTTTCTTCTTTTTTTATTTTCCAAATGTTCTATACGACTATGATTTATTCAAGCAAAGAAAAGTCCTTTTCCTTGAAAAGTCATTTCTCAAAACTCAAAAGGTAAAGGTAGGCAACTCACTCTCATGAGTGAAAAAAGGTATGAACCACCATTCCTCAATAACTAGGTATTAAGACCAAATCATATTTTATCATATTTTTCATCTTATGGAACATTTTCTCCTTGTTAGCTATCCTTAATAAAACCCAAATAATTGAAAAATATTATATTCTAAAATAAATTTGACTTTACACACTTTATTTTGCAGTTTGAATCTTTGATACACATTGTGAAGATTTATTCTGTACTTAATTGCTAAATAGCAAAAGAAGAGTACTGTCTTAGTTACCTAGTACTGTTATAACAGAAATACCACAAGTGGGTGACTTTAACAAACAGAAATTTATTTTCTCACAGTTTAGGAGGCTAGAAGTCTGAATTTAGGGTACTAGCTCTAGGGGAAGGCTTTCTCTCTCTGTCAACTCTGCGGGAAGGTCCTTGTCTCTTAGAGCTTCTGCTCCTGGGCAATCTTCATGTGGCTTGGCCTCTCTCTTCCCCCATCTCTGCTTCCTTAATCTGCTTTTATATTTTGTAAGAAACTGACTCAAGACACACTGTACATTAATCTTGTCTCATTAACATAACAAAGAAAACCCATTCCCAAATGAGATTATAACCACAGGTATAGAGGTTAGAATTTAGAACACATATTTTTGGGGGATACAATTCAATCCATAACAAATACCATATGCTAGATGCCATATGACTTAAATAGTATCTCAACAGATGTCTGACAAAGAGCTGTGAACCAAGTACTGTGAGGAGATGTACAAAAAAAAAACAGATATGGGCTCTGCCTTCTATAAATTCTTGGGGTAATCTAGTAATTTTCCATTTTGAAGGTACAAATAATAGAAAGATGGGAATATAATCATTCATGGATATCTTTCTTTTATTAAATGTCATCACATGCTTAATCATCAACATTTCTATGTTTTAGATATTTCATATGTTAGATGCTTGTTGATTAACATAAAATAAACATTCAATGTCAAAAATAAATTTTTAGGAACACAAGTTTTTAACCAAAACTCATCCTGCAAGCTTCCAAAAGATTCTAAAAGATATGTAGAAAGATGTATTTTTTTGAGAATCCAGTGTTGACAGAGTGTCAAATTCTTTTAAGACAAAGTCAAAGTTACCTAATTTCTCTGACAATCTAGTGTTAAAACAAGATTTTCTAATAAATATTAGCTTGTTCAGTGGCACAAGGCAGGAACTGATTAATCTTGGCAAATACACTAGTGCAGTATATCACAGACCATTCAATTCACATTGCTGTGTTTCTTATATGGTGTTTATACAATGTTATATAAAAAATAAAACCGCGAAGCTTCTAGAAAAGTTGCCATCTGGGAATCATTACAAACATGTCTTAACCACTTAATATTTAGATACTAAAGTGTCCTGAATAAATAGAAAAGGTCAGTATGTAACCTTATTTTGCCTACTGTAAGAATTTGATGCTCTTCATTTTGAGGAAAAAAGTTATTTTTATTGTACTAAAAATTGTTTTTAACTTATTAAAGCTGCCAGATCATATTTGAGAAGCTTAACTTTAGAGACAGGTATAAAAAGCTCACCATCTGTCTTTTTCATGATTTCACTGTATAATTTTTAATTGGGTAAGTTTTAAAACTAGGGGGGAAGTACTTGTTTCTTGCTACACTAGCAAACTAAATTCTA